TTACTAAACCTCTTTTACTTAGATTCGTATTATTTTGCAGATTTGTATAGAACCCTTGCATGTGACGTACAAGGGGTCTGTTACTTACAGCCCTTTTCAATTACACACGTTAAATCGTACAAGAAGTAGGTTTTGGTGGACGTAAATCAATACGTTTCCATGACGTTCCATAGGCACGTGCCCTTAAAAGCTTTGTTTTACAAAAATGCTGGGAAACACTTTGATTGGCGTCCACCAAAACTCTATTATGCGTCGAATTATTATTTTTGCGTGTAATTGAGAAGCGCTGTAAAAGCATTGAAAATACTGTATTAAACTAGGTGTTTTTKTAACCACGCGCGTACATTTTAACTCTAAACGTCTGACTTTCCRCGTTTATCCAAATTCACTTTTTGACGCGAGAAATCAGCCGAAAATATTGCGATATTTCCCCCTAGATTTAGAATAAAGCTAGTTAGAGTTAAACTGATAATTAGAATTGTAAAGCTGGATAGATAATTTAATGAAAATTAAGTTATAATTAACCAGGGAGGTGGRTTGAATTGAATTGACTAACTAATTATTATATATCTATATAATCAATATATAAATGTTTTAAAATGATTATTATACAAAAATTTTTATGAGTGTCATTTGTCGACTATGGCATGATTTATCCGTTGTACGGATTTCAAATCTTAATATTGAATTGTAGCTATTTTTGTCAGTCCTAGCTGCAAATCCTTTTGATATTAGACTGTTTTTAATATTAAAACACTCGTAGAACAAGTCAACCAAGTTGTGAAATAATATAAATAAAGCTTTTATATATTTATCAAGTAGTTGTACCTCTATATTTGTATTATTATAGTGCATTCCATATATCCATGAAAAAGTCAACTAATAAAACTTGTACAAATTATATTAGGGCAAAGTTTTGTAGATCTATGATTTACTTTTTTAAGGATACTGTATACAACTATTTCAAAAAATGTTGCATACTGCATACTAGATAGTGCATTGTGGGTCATGGTGACATTGTATTAAGTAGGATTAACAATAATTTATGTATTCTATTTTTAGTGTATTCCATCTGAAACAGTATTCAGTATTCAACCTTTTTTGAAATAGCTGTACAATAATGCGATGCATTATTATTTTCATGGCTATATTATTTAGTAAATATGTTATTTGAAGATGATAAGTTGCTGTCATTAAAAAGACAATGGAGAGTTTTAGATAGACTTTTTTTTCCCGCGAACGGCAAACGTGACCACGTTTTCCTGTATTYTACTTTACCTCTTGCAAACTTTCATATCAGCAACAAATAATTTGGGTCACGCCATACGAAGCTTTCAAGAAGCACTTAAGAGCAGACCAAACGAGGCGTTACAAGATCACGTAGCGATATTCCCTGCAATCACTTAAAAAATTAGGAACAGAACACTTAMTGAGAAAACGCTGAAATTCTCCGCATATATGCAATACAAATATGAAGAAATACTCGTATTAGATATTGTGAAATCCGAAAATTAAGAATTTTCTCCTCTGATCTAAAGCTAGAACGGAGAGCAGTAAAATATAGAGGCATAATATATAGAGAAAGAAAGAATTCTGCTCAGTATATTCCGCTATATTGGTGGATTGAAGTGGAACCAATGTCACCCGCCATGTTGGTTAGTAAAAATGAAACTTTTTGCGTTCAAATTTATTGCCATTGACCGTGTCCGCATTCTTCCTGTCCTCTAACATGGCTACACCCTTCTCAAACCAGCATATGGCAAATAAACAAGGCAATAGTGAAACAAGAAAAAAGATCAGTGAATAACAAATGAAATTGTTTATTTTTTTAAACAAATTTTGGGTGAAAGTTAGGATGCCGTGTATCGTGGGTTGAAGTCTTCCTTCCAAGRAAATATCCTTGGATTACACTTTTGATGAGTTCTTTTTATAATATTGCAAAGATTGCATCTTCAGTTGTATACGAATTCAATACTTTAATGATTGACAAAATTCTAATTCTTTGAATATAGATAATTATTTTCATGTAAAAACAGTCTTAACCTGATTTCACAATTATTTATTTTCTCTTTCGGTATTCAACGGTCTACTGGTAATTCCCCTCCCCTCCCATTTCTTTCTTCCCAAATAATAGTTTTTCCATTTTCTTTGTATGGTTTGAAGACGTTCTAGTGAACGATGAGCGCAGCCAGCCAGTTCCCTCTTCACTACCACCATCAACAGGCAGCTTGGAAGCRTTCACTCGGGCAAGCTGACATGCTCTAATATCAACTTAAAATAGTTMTTGTCAGTGGAGCACTGAATTTTCTTGTCATAAACTGGCCAATTTTTTTCTCAAAAACTTTATCAAAACTCTGTAAAATGTGTGAAATATAGTTCTTATTGGTGGAATCTATAAATGAGAGTTCAAGTTGATTTTCCAAACGTATATAAAACACTGTGTGAATGACTCTGCAAAAAGGTGAAGTGATGTCAAAAAGCTATTTTTTCATGCATAGATATTCTTTCCAAATATATGACTGACGGATTTAGAGCGGTTTTCGTACAAGTGGAAAACACAAGGTACTGAAATACAGCAAGTAAACGGTACGA